GGGGGGTTACCTTTGCCTTCCTCAGAAGCTGAGAGAATGTGACTTGACCAACATCATTTTGTGGCATTTTGTGGCTAAATGGGGATTTGAACCCTGGTCTCCAAGAACCTTAGCCCAACACTTAAACCACTGTGTTACATTGGTTCTAAGTTTTTTGGGATGAAAGAATGCAGTAATTTTAGAATTGATAAGAACATTTGAAAAGCCATGCTGGTCTAGCATTCTGTTCCCACAGTGACCCACCAAATGTTTAAAGGAAACTCACAGCATGATAGAAGTACACTTGGAAGACTCTATTGTTCCTATGTCTTGCATGGAACAATAGAAAGTGCAAAATAGAGGTTGAGACAGAGATGAATAAAATAAGGATATTGTGAAAGATAAATAGAATTAGAATAGCACAACTGGCATAGTTCAAAATATTCACACCATTTAACACATAGATAATATTTAGTTACATAGAGTGTATTGCCACTGTAAACTTCATCTTACTACATAAATCATATCCAAATCCTATTTTCTCAAAGATATGCATTATGTAGTAGTTTGACCATTGCACTACTTCTCTGTAGATCAGGGTTCAAATCCCTGCTCAGCCAAATCCCATTTAAACAAATTTTGTAAATAAAACTGGCTGCCGCAAGTTGGAAATGACTTAAAAATGACAACAACCCCAACATCTCTCTCATAATATTGTCTACTCATGCTAAAACAATTATTTGTAATTATACATTATTTCATTTATGCAACAGAGCAGGTGGGAGAAAACATATGTAAACTGCACAAAACATCTCCCTGCGTCTACTTATTGTGGCATTGCCATTCATTGGTAAAGGAAAGAATGAAACGGATCTCTCTTCAAAGAGATTTCATTTTCAGGTGGTAGTATAAGTCAGAAGACAGAAATAAAGATAGATACATTATGGAAATCTTAAATGCCAATGAGAAATTTACCTGAGTGGGTACTTATGCTAAACTCTGTATGTGTTGATTAATTTACTTTAGATGAAGCTATGAAACATTTACATGTTATACAGCAAACACAGTTTCTTCACAGAGTGTACTTGGTTATGGTTACTAGCAAATGACTCCTCTCTGCATTTATATTTTATATTCACACATGTACATTTATTTATTTTTTCTTTTCGTTAACAATATATAGGGCAAATAGGTGAATCTCTTAAAGTTGTCTGTAGGATTTCTGTCTTAATGCCTTTGTGGAAATGAAAGTGGAATATTTTAAATGCTCCTCACCATTGTTTCTCTACAGCATGTCTGTTGAACAGGTTGCCTATAAGAGATAAAGCATCCACTGCTTCCCATGAGTAAGCTTTGAATTGCTGCTTTCCCTCCTTCTCCAGAAATGAAAACCTAATTATGAGAGTGTGAAAAATGTTTTTGCTAATGCTTTCTTATAATATGCTCTGGAGGCTGAAAATTATTTTCATGAGAACATGGGTTGAAGCATAAGCCTTTGTAGAGAAGAACTGTTTCCTCTCACCAACTGTATAGACTTATTCTATTAAAATAATCATGTTTTCCACTAAAGGTTGGTAAAACGTTTCATGACAGTTTGGTGTTTTTATTTCAAAGATTCCAGTCAAGATCTAGTCTCACATCTCGGAAATTTTGAAAATTGTATATAATCTATTTTCAGTGCAAGGCTTTATAAGCCATCCTTCTTTAGCAGACATCACTTCCAGATACCAAAAAAAGTTGACACTTCGTGAAAGTTTCCAGAGCTGTCTGTATTTTAATTGTCTCTTCAGAAACAGCAACAGGACAACAATCTCAATTAGAAACAACAACAAAACAAGCTAATAAGGCGTGTACAAGCTATTAAACATTTTGCATAATATTTGAATACTTAATTGCAACACTTTCAGTACTGCAGAGAAGAACTTTAGGAGAGCAGTCAAAGGCCAAGTACATAAGTTTTCTATTGCCACTCGTTCAAGACAGTAATAATAGCTCTGTGACTGAGTATATGCATTGTGGATGGTCCCAAGTCCCAAGTTTAACCCATAGCCTTTTGACTTGAAAAGAATTTAGCCATTGGGCTAGTAGAGTCCTTTGGCCAAAATCCAGAAAGCAACTCCCAATCACAATTGGTAACACAAGGTTATCTGGTCTATCACAGATTTTCTTGTTCTAACATCAAACTGTCAGGTCCTATCAGTGTGCAAATAAAGACCTCAACTCAGGGGTGAAATTAATATAGTCCTCCAAATGTTGATGAATTGCAACACCCAGAATTTTCACTGTTTGCTATGCTGACTGTTGGGAGTTGCAGTCAAAACATTAGGGGGAGGGCTGCATGATTCCCATCTCTTTCCCATCCCTAAGGAACTTACAATCTCTATTTCATTATGGGTAAGGCAACAGAAGGAAGAGATGGAAAAGAAGGCAGAGAATGAAATATTTAAGTATTTCACTTACATGAAATTTCACTTACATGGGGCATTTCAACAGTCTAGAATCATGATTTGTTGCAGATGTCACACAGGATGAGACCAACAAGACAGAGATTTATGATATTGTTAACTTATCTTGTCAATCATGATATAATTCTCCAAATTTCAGCCACCTGTCATGTATATTTTTAACCAACAAAAACAGTGGGAATAAACCTGTTACATAGTTTTCTGTTGGTTTTCCAGGCTATGTGGCCCATACAATAACAGACCAACACACAGATTAACGTATAAATCACTTCCTCCCAACCAAGGATCACACAAGTATATATACCCCACATACTTCCATGCCACCACCCTCTGAAGATGCCAGCCACAGATGCAGGTGAAACATCAGGAATAAACTCTTCCAGAATGCAGCCACATAGCCTGGAAAACCCACAGAAAACAATGGACACCGGCCATGAAAGCCTTCGACTTAACATTGGGCATTTGTATGGGGAGAGACCTGTTATATTTTACAATTGTGATACAGTTGTGACAGCAGTAGACCTATTACAATTTGCAGCTGCAACACTTTTTTGTCCCATATAATGTAATGTATTGGGATAAAAAAGTGCCCCATGCCATTTTGTGGTTGAAAGTATGACTCAGAGAGGTTGGTGAGAAGGCTTGCATAAGAAACAGGCCCTCTGCCCTGCTCAGAGATAGGAGGGCAGGAAGGGTACACTTACTTGTTTCTCTGCATGACTGACAAAGAAGGAGATAGTAATGCTGGAAAAGGCAGAAAAGGAAAGATCTGCTGTAGACATCCAGATAATTAACCATCCAGTATTCAGAATCATCATTTGGGAACTCCCTGGTTCAAAGAAGGATTCAAAGAAGAAGAAGAAAATTGCTGGAACTTCTATTTTCCTTGAAGAAAACAGTATTTACTACACAGTCCAAATAGACATGAATCTTATGTATTTAGGCCATAGAATAAGAGGAAACCACACTGTTAATACTGTGTCAAACTGTTGGAACCCCTTGACATTACTCAGCTGAAGACATACATTGGTCTTTCCTGCTGCAAGGATTTCAGTGACAACATGTAGCCTTGCTGGAATTGTGCTAGCCAATCTAAGCTATTTCTTGAACACAATAATGAGCTTGAAGAGATTTTTTGTATGCTTACAAGGTACTTAACAGGGAAACAAGAAGAATGATTTGAGTTACTGATAAACTAGCTATCTTTTCAAGATAGATGGGCAATGTTTGCTGGGCAGCTTAGAACATGGAACACACCAGGGATGAAGCGAGCCACTTATGATCAGCTGGGTTATGATTGGCAGTATGCTTCAGATAAATTAGGAAAGACTGGCATAAAATTGTGCTGCTCCAATGCCAAGATACAGCCTTTGAAGGGAGAAATGTATTTGGGAAGACAGCCTGATGTTCTATAGGAAGCTCAGCTTGGTTACAGTATACTGACAACTGACAGTTGAACAATTTTTCCACAATGGATGAAATACGATGGAAGATAATTTTTTTTTACCAATTTGTCTAGCAGAGCTTCTGCCAATTCTGAAGACTTAACATACATAGCCACCATTCTGCAAAATAAGCCATACCCCTTACATCTCTAACTGGGCAGGAGATAAGATAAATATCAATGCACCATGTGCAGCATCCAAAGAACGTGCTTTGGTTGTTAGTAGAGTGGCTGGCATAAAGAATATAATAGTTCTTCTTTGTGAAAGATTTTTCTCAGGGAGGGAACTGAGAGAAGACAATTTCTCCATAATGCTAGTATTGCTAGATTTTCCTGTAAGTAAATAAAAGCAGCTGTTTCCTTAAGATTTACATCCATTTCCTATTTTGGAGGGAGTTTGCAACAAGGTTTGGTTTTATTTCATTTGGCCACAACTGGTCATATTTTTAGGACACAAAAATTATACTGTATTGGTTACAATTTTTTTGCACAAAAGAAGCATTGTCAGCTACTCAGAATAAATGTTCTACTTCATGTGAACATGTGTTTACTGTCTGTGGGTGTTTGGGTATTGTGGTATTCCCTTCATTTATAAACAATCTGATAGACAAGAGATATTTGGGTCTCCTGAGGTATAGTAGAATTGCCATTGGGTCAGAAAGTACTCCAGAAGTCACCCAGTGAAAGTTTTACATTGTCCATATGAATGAGGGCTTATGTATTCCCATAAGGTATCAGCTCAATAGGTATGGAAGTGCAACTCTGCTAGGATTTTATAGAAAAGGTGCTGGATAAAATGGTTATCCTGAACGGTCCCTATGGCCTGAAGCAGATGGGCCAAATAAAGTGGCTTCCATCTGCTTTGGAGGCATGGCATTTAGATGATGCATATCCCCAAAGTGAACAGAAGGTGTGCCGACACCACCTAAGGTGGCCTGAAGCCAGCTGGAAAAGAAGCAGGAAAAAACTG